ATACATACATACATACATACATACATACATACATACATACATACATACATACATACATACATACATACATACATACATACATACATACATACATACATACATACATACATACATACATAAAATGTTGCTTGAGAAGTCATAGCTCCCTCCCTGCCTCCTTCCCCTCCAACTCTCTCTCTCTAATCCTGCAGTCCTCCCCTCCCCCTTCCATTGCATAAGGAAAACTGCCCTCTTCTAGCAAGAAGAGAGTTTGAGCGGTACATAGGGAGACAGCTCTGTAGGGGAATGTAGAGTAGTCCTATGCTGGAGAATATGGAAATTTCTAGATCCCAATTTCAACCGAACAAGGATACATCCTGGGCGGGGAGGGAACTGTGGCTCCTTAAGAGGCCAGGCTTCATGACCCCATAGGCATGTAGGTAATAAATAAAGCAACCCAAGTTTGAGGGTATAAATCAGTGAGTCCGAATCTAAGTAAATTGCAAGACTGTAGTCCAGTCATGCTGACTGGTGTAAATTTTGACTGACTGCTGAGACATTCTAAAAAATTTCAAGCCCTGATAATAATAAAATAGATAATAGGAGGGAAAAAAAGAAAAGCAAAAGCATTCTAAAGACTTATTTTGCTCCTTTTAAATTATTCAGAAGAGAGAAAAAACAAGAGGCTATTTTATGCTATTTGCAACCAAAGTTTATTGCTTCCTGACCCTACTTTCTGTTTGATCATGCAGATGGAAGGGAATGGGGCCACAAGGATCTTTTCTCTCTCCTTCTGGGGGGGCTTGCTGCAGCTATGGGGTTCCTCCCTTTCTCATGACAGTTGTCAAAAGCCAAACCCTTGCCTTCTTCCCCAGTAAGACTCCCTCCTGTACTGCCCTCCTTTCTTTCTCTCTCTTTTTAATCAGGTAAGAATCAGAATTTTGCACATCCACGTCTTCTGCCACTGAAAACAACATGTGAAGCAGGAAAAAGGAAATAGAAAAACCAGCGGACAGAAAAAACTAGATCAGCTTCTCAGGGTGTTGATGTTTCTGGACTGCTTTAAAAAGGGGGGGGAAAGCAAATGTTTTCCATCTGTAGAAACATATACCTCCCATTTGAACAAAAATAGGAGAATCCACTCACGATTGGGTTCCATGTGGAAAACCTTTTAGAGAGAAAGAGTATAAAGACTTACAGCATGGAGAGATGTTCAGCCAATGCAATCTCCTTCATTCACATGGAATAAAAGAGGGAGAAAAGCTATATAACTGCATGGAAGGTGGAGAGAGCTTCAGCCTAACCAGCACCCTCAGTAGACATCAATAAACTGAAGCAGGCAAGAGACCATATAAATGCATGAACTGTGGAAAGCACTTCAATCGGGTCAGTCAACTGAGTACCCATCAAGGAACTCACACTGGGAAGAATCCATAAAGGGGCATGGAAAGGGGAAAGGGATTCAGCGACACTGGTGCCCTAATAAGTCAAAGAAGAACTCACACTGGGGAGAAGCCATATGAATGCATGGAATGTGGAAAGAGCTTAAATCGAATCAGTAGCCTCAGTATACATCAAAGAACACACACTGGAGAGAAGCCCTTTAAATGCATGGAATGTGGAAAGTGCTTCAGCGTCAGTAGTCATCTTAGATCCCATCTAAGAACTCACACTGGAGAGAAGCCATATAAGTGCAAGGAATGTGGAAAGTGCTTCAGCGTCAGCAGTAGTCTTAGGTCACATCAAAGAACTCACACTGGGGAGCAGCCATATAAGTGCATGGAATGTGGAAAGTGCTTCAGCGTCAGCAGCAGCCTTAGTTTACATCAAAGAACACATACTGGGGAGCAGCCCTATAAATGCATGGAATGTGAGAGAAGCTTCATCAACAGTGGTGCCCTAAACCGTCATAGAAGAACTCACACTGGAAAGAAACCATATAAATGCATTGAATGTGGAAAGTGCTTCAATCGAAGCAGTAGCCTCAGTTCACATCGAAGAACTCACACTGGGGAGAAGCCGTATGAATGCATGGAATGTGGAAAGCGCTTCAGTTTCAGCAGTAACCTTAGTTCACATCAAAGAATTCACACTGGGGAGAAACCATATAAATGCATGGAATGTGGGAAGAATTTCACTCACAGCAGTCATCTGAGTTCACATCTAAGAACTCACACTGGGGAGAAACCATATAAATGCATGGAATGTGGGAGGAGTTTTAGTGGCAGTCGCCCCCTAAAATGCCATGAAAAAATTCACTCCCCAAATTAGGACCTACCGTATTTTTTGCTCCATAAGATGCACCGGACATTAAGACGGACTTAATTTTTAGAGGAGGAACACAGGGAAAATATATTCTGAACCAAATAGTGTAATAAAATATTTAATAA